AAAAGACCCACCCTTAGGTTGGGTTGGGCTCTGGATAGATGGCAGAATGGGGAACCGGCAGATTGGGGTCCGATGTTAGAATGGGGGATAAAGATGGCGACCCGTTAGAATGGGGTATCTATACTACTGGGGCGGTTCGCCGGGGATTTTTTTTTCACGAAAGTGTGTGCCGCCGAAAGCGTGAGGACGGGGTGGGTAAATGTTCAGGGGTGAGGGGGATGCGAGGGAGGGAGAAGTAGGTTTACAGATCTTACCTTTGTTAAGCGTGATGCTTACTAACTCAATTCTCACCACGAGGAGTTGCCTGTATTTCGACTTTGAAAATTGGTACGCAAACAAAAGACGATTCTTAGCAACTTTTGTTTAATAAAAAATGTCTCTGTAACAGACAATATCCTCCTGCGAGGAAGGCTCGGCCGGGGCGACCGCTGCTGAAAAAGGCGACGGCTACTGTAAACTTCTTGGTCGGCGGGAGGCTGTAACGAAAGACTCATCGGTTGCATTTTGGACGCGCGACGCACGTGCACGTTTGAAGCGCTACTTATAATCGGGGGTCTAACTTATAAGTCTTTTGAAAATGGTAAACGGTAGTTGAAGCATTTCTTCTTTTTCCGTTTACAAGAAATTTATATCTCAGACCACCGATTTTTAATAGCTTTATCAGTACTGATTACACTGCCATGTGCGTAAACCTGTTAGTTACGCAATCCCGTGCATTCTGTACTTGCGGAGCCCTTGCAGCTGGCAGGGTGGACCGTGCCGCCGCGCACCCGTGCGCGGCGCGCTGCCTACTCTGAGGTTCGCAGGCGGCGGTCGGCCTGCAGTCCATTGAACTTTATGTTGTATTTGTTCTGCGATGATCATCACAACACCGTGCAATATTCGTCGCCCCCAGGCAAGAAAGTCCGTTCTACGACGGTCGCCCAGAGAATGCCCGATCTACAAGCGTCGTTTGAAGACTGTTCGATCTTCATTAGCCCGCCTGGAGAACACGCGAAGCAACATTTTTGACTGTTTTGAGATATTGATGCCATTTTACTTATCTCGCTAAGTTCCATAAAATGGCACCAATATCTCAAAACAGTCAAAAATGTTGCTTCGGACGTTCTCCAGCCGGGCTAATGAAGATCGAACAGTCTCCAAACGACGCTTGTAGATCGGGCATTCTCTGGGCGACCATCGTAGAACGGACTTTCTTGCATGGGGGCGACGTATTCTTGTATCACAAAAGTCGTGCAGTCAGTATCACACTCTGATTTACAGTGTGATGTCGTGCCACCTAGTAGCGTGTAGCCACCTGGTT